GTTTGAGGACAATAATATCAACACACACACGGACACGGTCATCTGCTACATTGGGAAATGCATCGATGATGTGGTACCGAAGGTTACTGTACTACAGTGACGTGCGGTGAGGTTCATGGCTGGTGAGGCACTGACTCACTGAGTCACATTTACAAATATTATATTTTGACCTTAATCGAAATATTCGGTTATTTTCAAAAGCTTTTTTAGTCTGATGCTTCGATTCATTTTAAACAGACCGTTCAACAAAAGGATTATCCTGCTGGACAACAATCTCTATTACTTTTTTGTAAAAGTCCTCCTTATCTTCCTGTAGTTTAAAAAGTCTAGTTTGTTGTTTGTGTCTACCGTCTCTGCGTAGAATAACAGTAGCAACAAGAACCTGTGGGCTCACGTGCGCCCCCTTCAGTGCGGCAGAGGTTATGGCTGCCTCCCCTGGTGCTTTTTTCATTGTCGTTGTATGGTGAGACCAGCGAGCCTAAATATCATATATACGTGAAATAAGTTCTTTAGAGACTATGGATGGCGAGGATAAATGTAATAAAGGGATCTACAAACATTACATTGTTGACCTACAGTGAGATGGTAACAGGCATGCGCTTAGGGCCCGCTTTCCAGCCAGTTTCTGTGGGGTGATGCATTCTGAGGTGAGGCAGAGCTCATCTGTGCCTCACCTCACCCCACAGTAACTGGCTTGAGCGCGCTCACAAAATAAGTGGCCGCGCTAAATTAGTGCCCGTGCTCCAGCAAGTTACTGTGGGCTTACGAGAGGCAGAGCACGTCCCTGCCTCTCTTCTCATCGCTCCCGTAGCGGAGCTCGGCAAATGTGCTGATTTTGACTATAAAAAGTGATTGGAATCATACAGAAATCACACTTACAACACAGATCAGTGGAGACATTTTATTATTATTACTATTTAGTTTTTCTTTAGTTGTTTTTCCGTTACATTGGAGTATGACAGGTGAGGCTCTGCCTCCCCTGCCTCCCCTAACTGCACGTCGCTGCTGTACTAACATTCCCGAATCAAAAGCCGGCGAGGTGGAGATTCAGAGGAGTACAAGAAATTGAGGTATGAACTCCGGAGAGCTATTAGCAGTGCAAAGAGACAATACAGAGACAAAGTGGAGTCTGACTTCAAAGGCTGTAACACCCAGAATATGTGGGCGGGACTAAGAACAATGACAGATTACAGCGGGGGGTGCTGCGGGTCTGTCTGCGTGCGCATCTCTCCCAGATGAGCTGAACTGTTTTTGTTGTTCGATTTGAGAGCAGCCAGGCTGTGGGTGCAGAGGACCAGGAGCCCTGCCCTTTTGTTTTAAACAGGGCAGATGTGTGTAAATCCTTTAAAAGGGTTAACCCACACAAGGCTCCTGGACCTGATGGCATCCCTGGCCGTGTTCTCAGGGTGTGTGCAGTTCAGCTGGCAGAGGTGTTCACAGACATCTTCAACAGGTCCCTGTTGCAGTCTGTAGTCCCCACATGCTTCAAACACTCCACTATCGTTCCTGTCCCCAAAAAGACAATAATCACCTGCCCCAACGACTACCGCCCAGTAGCACTCACCTCCATCATCATGAAGTGCTTTGAGCGGTTAGTCAAATCATTCATCACCTCCTCCCTCCCTGACTCTCTGGACCCCCTGCAGTTTGCCTACAGAGCAAACAGGTCCACAGACGACGCCATAGCCCTCACCCTCCACACTGCCCTCTCACACCTGGACCCGAAGAACAGGAACACATATGTGAGAATGCTGTTCATTGACTACAGTTCAGCATTCAATACCATTGTGCCCTCCAAGCTGGCCATCAAGCTCAGAGAGCTCGGGCTCAACAGCGCCCTCTGTGACTGGATCCTGAACTTCTTGACGGGCAGACCCCAGGCAGTGCGGGTGGGAAACATCACATCCTCCACCCTGATCCTCAACACCGGTGCCCCTCAAGGCTGCGTGCTCAGCCCTCTCCTCTACTCCCTGTTCACTCACGACTGCGTGGCCACACACAGCTCCAACACCATCGTGAAGTTTGCTGACGACTCGACCGTCATCGGCCAGATCACAGACGATGACGAGACGGCGTACAGAGAGGAGGTCGAAAACCTGACATCTTGGTGCCAGGATAACAACCTCCATCTCAACGTCAGCAAAATCAAGGAGCTGATTGTGGACTACAGGAAGCAGAGAAGAGAGGGACACGCCCCCATCGCCATCAATGGGACTACGGTGGAGAGAGTCAGCAGCTTCGGGTTCCTCGGTGTCCACATCACTGAGGACCTGACATGGTCTCTTCACACCACCACCATCACCAAAAGAGCTCGACAGCGGCTCTTCTTCCTCCGCAGGTTGAGGAGGTTCAACACGGACTCCAGGATACTCTAGAACTTCTACAGGTGCACCATAGAGAGCATCCTGACCTTCTACAGGTGCACCATAGAGAGCATCCTGACCTTCTACAGGTGCACCATAGAGGGGATCCTGACCTTCTACAGGTGCACCATAGAGGGGATCCTGACCTTCTACAGGTGCACCATAGAGAGCATCCTGACCTTCTACAGGTGCACCATAGAGGGGATCCTGACCTTCTACAGGTGCACCATAGAGAGGATCCTGACCTTCTACAGGTGCACCATAGAGAGCATCCTGACCTTCTACAGGTGCACCATAGAGGGGATCCTGACCTTCTACAGGTGCACCATAGAGAGGATCCTGACCTTCTACAGGTGCACCATAGAGAGCATCCTGACCTACAGGTGCACCATAGAGAGCATCCTGACCTTCTACAGGTGCACCTTATGGGGCATTTCCACCATGGCGCGGAGCGCGGTTTAAGCGTGCCGTGTCGTGCCGGGCCCGTTTTTGGTTGCGCTTCCACAGTGCGATGGCCACCCTCTTCTTTAGAGGTATACACTTGCGGAATGCTGTGTCCCTCCATCGCTGGCCGCAGTTTGTTGCACAGGTAGACGTAGGTTTCCTCTGACATCCTGAAGTTCTCCACCCACTGAGTGTCTGTGAAAGATGGAACAATCACACCCCACCACTCGGTAGCTCGGTCGAGCATCCAAACACATGGTCTGCGGCGGCGACCTAACTTCTTAAATACACAAACAAAAGCATACATATTTTAATACGTAAAAGTGGTAGCTACAATTAATTAAATACTTGAAACACTTTGGTCGTATAGTGAGCGTGAAACACATTGCTAGTTAGCGAACGTTAGCTTACCGAGTAGCGTTGAGTCGTGCTGGAGTAGTCTCTGCCGCATTGTAGGATTGCCATAAGTCTCCCATGAGCTTCTTCTGTATTACGTCTTGCTATAAGCCGCCTTTTCCGAAACAAAGTGTTCCTTCTTGCTGTGATAAAAAAACACGTACACAGAAACAAGGAAACGATGGCATCCACATCCTCCATTGTTGCGTGTTTTGTGAGTTGTGTCGCATTGAAGATGACGTCACGGCAGTTGTATGCAGCGTCGCTCCGCCCGCCAAAAAGCCGATCGCCCCGCCTACACTGCGTTACTATAGTAACTACCCCAGTTCCTAAACTGTAATGGAAGCGCAGCATGAAGTGAGCCGGCCCTAACAAGGCCCACCGCGGCCTAGCAGTACCGAGCGAGGCCGACCGTGTGGTGGAAATGCGCCATTAGAGAGCATCCTGACCTTCTACAGGTGCACCATAGAGAGGATCCTGACCTTCTACAGGTGCACCATAGAGAGGATCCTGACCTTCTACAGGTGCACCATAGAGAGGATCCTGACCTTCTACAGGTGCACCATAGAGAGCATCCTGACCTTCTACAGGTGCACCATAGAGAGCATCCTGACCTTCTACAGGTGCACCATAGAGAGCATCCTGACCTTCTACAGGTGCACCATAGAGAGCATCCTGACCTTCTACAGGTGCACCATAGAGAGCATCCTGACCTTCTACAGGTGCACCATAGAGAGCATCCTGACCTTCTACAGGTGCTCCATAGAGAGCATTCTGACCTTCTACAGGTGCACCGTAGAGAGCATCCTGACTGGCTGCATCACGGCCTGGTACGGCAGTTGCACCGCCCTCAACTGTAAGACTTTACAGAGGGTGGTGAAACTGCACAGAACATCACCAGGACGGAGCTGCCACCCATGGAGGACCTCTACTCAGGAAGAAAGCCCTCAGGATTATAAAGACCCCCATCATCCCAGCCACAAACTGTTCTGTCTGCTGCCGTCTGGCAGGGGGTACCGCAGCATCAGGACTAAAACCACCAGATTCAGGGACAGTTTTATCCCACAGGCCATAACAATGTTACAACATACATAACATTCATCTGTTTGCAACTCACATTTATCGTGTATATCAGTGTTCCAATTGCTGTATATAGACTATTCTGCACAGTTTCTATCATATTCTGTTTCTATTATATTCTATTTTATTTTCTTGTACTATTTTGTCTGTTTGTTGTGTTGCACTGTTGAAGGAGCCTGTGACCTAAGATTTGTCATAGCTACACCGTAGCTATGCACACATGACAATAAAAGCCTTGAAACTTGAAACTAAAGTATATTTTGATGATAATACTTTTGTACCGTTACCTAAACGTGAAAGCAGGACTGTTTCTTGTTACTTAGTATTTGTACACTGTAGTCTTGCTACTTTTACTAAAGTAAATCCTTTCAGGGCTTCTTCCACCTCTGGTTGGTGGCCGTCGCTCAGGAAGTACAATTAGAAAGCTCTTTGTAAATGGTTTCATTTGTCATTTGTTGGAGAGGCCCCCTGGTGGCAGAAAATGAAGTACTGCATGTATAATTGTAAACTGTGAACACAGAGAAACTTCATTTTTTGTTTACATTTTTTGTCACGGAGAGATGATGAGATGAATGCGGGGGTACGATGGGGGGGTATGATGCGGGGGTACAATGCGGGGGTACGATGGGGGGGTACGATGCAGGGGTACGATGGGGGGGTACGATGGGGGGGTACGATGGGGGGTACGATGTGGGGGTATGATGGTGGGGTACGCACCACACCCCGCTGACGCAGCGGGTGGAGAGGGCTCGGGGCATGATCTCTGACCCCTGCTGCATGAAGCCCCCCACCGGGAACCACAGACTGTTCCCCAGCGTGTACTGGTTCTCCAGAACATTCCTCCGCTCCCGCAGGCAGGGGTGGGGGTTGTACCACTCATAGGGGCTGAGCCTGAGGGGGGGCACAATGAGTCAGAATAGAGACAGATTAGACTTTACTACAGACACATCCACCATTTGACTTCTTCTACTATTAATTGTAAGTCGCTTTGGATAAAAGCGCCAGCTATATGCAATGTAATGTCATTCATTCATTTAAAGCAGCGGTTTTCAAAGTGTGAGGCGGGCCTCCCTGGGGGGGCGCCAGAGAGCTTCAGGGGAGGCGCAGCATGAGAATAAAATAACGAGAAAAAGACGAGTAAAGTGTCACTTGCACACTTTTGGCTTTCTGTGGAGACCGAGGTCCCCCACCTCGCCAAAAAGGCTTTAAAAGTGCTCATTCCCTTCACCTCCACCCAGGGGCAGACTGGCCATCTGTGTGTTCTGGAGAATCACAGAACGGCCGGTCGTCAGCGGGCCGTTGACGGCCGGCTCGGTTCGCTGGCGGCCGGCACCGCCCTTTATTTGTTATGTTTTTAAACGGCATCATTTAAGTTGCGCTGACAGGCGACAGAGGTCCGTTCAGCGGGCCGTTTCCACGCAGCGAGGCTCCCCCCCCCCCCACTTTGATCAAAAGCAAAGGCTGCAGCCAGAGTATGATCTGCGTTTATTCCTGTCTACATTGCATCCCCGCATCATCCGCCTGTGTGCATCAAAGACGCACTCATTGTTCCCACTAAAGTAGGGGTGAGTGTAATAAGGAGGCAAAGCTGAGGTTCAGTGTGTTGCCGGGAGCATATTAGGATTTATCCACCATGTTGAAAATGTTAAAAATGTTTAAAACATAAAGATAAAAAGGTTTTTAAAAGTTGTTGCTTAATGTTTTAAAGAGGTGACGCTACTCAGTCAGTGAGTCAGCACGATAGATTCAAACTCACACAGAGACGAGACAAGACGAGAGAAACAGTCGGAGTCATTTCAAATGGTGTGCTCAAAAAAGAGAAAGGTAGACAGAGAAAACAGAGCATTTCATGACATGTTCTCGTACTGGACCTCTTTGAAATGCAATTGAATGCCCCTGCATTATAGCAACAACAACAGTAATTATAATAATAGCAATAATAATTGGGAGTGGGGGCGCGGCTGTTCTTATGTTCTCTGAGGGAAGGCTCTCCTTCCCACACTTTGAAAACCCCTGATTTAAAGCACTCGGTTCTAAACACATGAGCCTAAAATCTCTTACAGTCCCGATCAAAGTGAAAAGATTATAGAGTTTTATAAAAAGCACTCACTATAAACAGTTCTGTAGCTCTATTAAGGTTATTTAATCAAGAGGGCTGAGAAAGTGAAGTATGTCATTGACATAGAAAACAGGTGAGAGAGGCAGAGATATGATACATTATTACTTAATACACAACATAACATGTTAATGAGAAAATACCAGAGGATAAAGTCCTTAAATGTTTATGTGAATGACTAAATTACAGATTCAGAAAGAGTGAGGGAGAGGAATGGCAGGGGAATACATGTACTTAAAACACAGTTATTACAATGAGAATACATTATACATACAGTATACAATTGCTGGAGCAAAATAAATTAACCACTCAAAAGACAACAGTATAGATGTTATGGAGTTTTATTGAATCTGAATAACTGAGATATTGAGGGCCAGCGGATATATTCTGTAGTACGTACAGCAAAACTGTTTTTTTATTGTTTTATTGTTTCCCATTGTAAAGCGTCCTTGGGTCTCTTGAAAGGCGCTATAAAAATTGAAATTATTATTATTATTATTATAACTTGGTGTCTCGACCATTCTGCAGTAGCCCAGGCTGCAGCTCTTCCCGTTAAGTGAGACGATAAAAGCCACTTTACCATGGTGAGACAAAAAGGCTCTGCAGTTCATGGAGTCTCCGGAAAATCTCTCCGGAGGAGCCAGCCGTAAAGAGGAAGAAACAGCCTGGTTCGGGTTGACTGTGTCAGCAGGATCCTCGACAAGGAAAACGCCAGCTGTGGATGACGTCACCGGAGGAGAAGTCTGGAGGTGAGTGAAGAATTGACTCATCTGTGCAGTCAGCTGTTGCATCTGCGTAGCGACGACTTCCTGAAACTCGGCCTGGGGTCCCACCAGCTCTTTTATTCCCTGGTTGACGAAGCCCAGCTGTTCCTCGTGGTGGAAAATATTCACGCCCTGTGCTGACAGGGAGGCGTGAAGCGTTCTTGGGTCGGCTGAGTCCATAATGGTCAGTTCGTTCTGTTACGAACTCAGAAACTCAAGGTATAGGACCCAATTGCACGACCCAGGAGACAGAGGTAAAGTATTTGTAAGATACTTTATTTTCAAATAGATGAACAGAAATAAACTATCAAATCTCTAGATGAGATGACAAAAAGTGAACAAAAGAAAATCGCTCACGTAGTGAGGCACAAAAACATCTTGGTATCAAGGAGAGCATAGATCTGAGCTAGGCATGAGACAAGACGAACTGACAAAGAACACATGGGAGACTGGGGAATTTAAACACAGGATAACAAGACACAGGTGGGAACAATCAGGGGCGGCTGGTGCTGATGAGCACGGGAGACACACAAGAGGTGGATAATCAGGAAGCCTGGAATGACAGGTAAATGGTGAGTGACAAAAACAACCATAAAACAACATGAAAATGAAACTCTCTTAACATTTCTGTCGGTGCACAACAAAAACTAGCAGTAGCACTTTTAGGGTGGCTAGCATAGCGCTTGCTTTCAGGTTCAAAATGATACGAACTGAAGCTTTAATTATTGTTTTTTTATTAATAATAATTTCTCTGTCACTGCGTCTAGTTTTGACTTATTTTTTGTATGCAGAATGTTTAGATTTTAGAAAATAGAAATTCAGCAACATGTTTACATTTTGACAGAAACATTAAAGGTCCCATGTCATGCTTTTCTGGTTATTACCCGTCCCCTTGTGTGTTATGTAGCTTTTTCTGCATGTAAATGGTCTGCAGAGTCACAAACCCTCAAAGTACACCCTGTAGCGAGTAAAACTCTAACACAGAAAAGACCTGTCTATGCTGCCCCAGAACGCCTCGTTGGACATTTTTCTTTTTCCATTTCTTTCTTCCTGGTCATATTGATGTCACTACGTCCAAATGGATCAATTGGTCCGAATGCACCAATCCGCGGAGCTCCGCACACACACTCACTCAGGCTGAGCTCCGCGGTGCTCCGCTGGCATGGCACGCAGACCCCACGCAGCAACCAGGAAACGACACCAGTAACCCAGCTCACACTGTCCGCTCCTCGAGCCCCACAGGGCGGAGCAGCGAGCCGCGCATCGTCCCGCCAACACGGCACCCAGACCCCACGCAGCATTGTCATCTGTTTGTCATTACTGGTGTCATTTTCTGGTTGCTAACAAACGCCATTGTAACACATAAACACTGATGTTCCGCTGTAACGGTGGTGGACTCATCAGAACAGAGTGGGCGAGCTGACCAATCAGAGCACAGTGGGCTCATAGGGAGGGGGGGGGGCAGGAGCTCCAACAAGCCGTGTAGGACAGAGAGTGAATACACATACTATACAGAAATGCTGTATGAGAAACAAATGTGAGTTTGGAACATTGCACAATATAAATCTATTCTAGTAGACCTCAACAATGGAATTATGATCATATTAATGGCCATGACATGGGACCTTTAAGACACACACACACACACACACACACACACACACACACACACACACACACACACCTGGCAGCGAGGAAGAGGACGCAGCTGACGGCGAGGTAGGCCAGCAGCATGAAGAGCCACACGGCCGGAGAGAAGGGGTCCAGGAAGGAGAAGTACCCCGGCTTCCGGCCCTGAAACACACACACACACACAATCACTCTGTTAATGTGTTAATAAGAACTTATTAAACATTTGTCCAATTTTCCAATATGAAAAGAAGCATGTTTGGCACATTTTGCATCACTCTGATCCTGTGACTCTGTAAATGTGTTCTGGCTCCTCACACATGGAGCCACCTGGACTTGAAATCATGAAGTTTATGAGTGGAAGTTCTGTGTCCAGGTGGAGGCAGTGAGCTGTGAGGAGGACCATCTGCCGGGCACAGAGCTGTCACTGTCTGCTTACTAACACAACCTTCCCTGCCATATCACAGCCATGTGTGTTTGAAAACACATCATTTTTCACATTTTGTGAGGACGTAAATCTAAAATTCAAATAAATAATAAATAAAAATAAAAAACAGTTACGAGCCTTTCAGTGTTAATGACTGTGGGTCGATGCCCCCCAGCCAGATGCTTACCGTCGACCCATTTCATCACCTTCCCTTAGTGCCTGTGCTCGTCCAAACGGTTGACAATGACGCAAATCGTCTCAGGGAAATGTCATGCAGATCAGTGAGAACCTAAATATCACAGTACATCTGTATTCATCCCAAAAATCAACTATGACATTTGGTATAACTCTTTCTAATGCATTTTTTTAAGCCAAATTAAAATGATTATATTAATGAAATGTTTGTGATATTATTCATGGACAGGATTTCAAGGCGTAGTTGTGGGGGAGGGGGTGCAGTTTGGTGGGCTAAGGATTGCATCGCTGCTTTTTGCGATGTGGTTCTGATGGTCATTGGTCTGTGACCTGCAGCACTCACTGGGATGAGGACCAGCACCCCTAAATCTGAGGCCATGGTTCTCAGCAGGAAACCGATAGACTGTCTTCTCCGAGTAGGGAATGAGTCCTGAACCCAAGGAGAGGAGTATCTCGGGGTCTTGTTCTCAGTGAGGGGACAGTGAAGCGTGATACGAGCCGGAGAACTGGAGCGGTACTGAAGTCGCTTTACCGCCCCGTTGTGTTGAGGAGAGAGAAAAGCTCTCGATCTACGGATCCATCTTCGTTCCTGCCCTCACCTGGTTCAGTATTCAGGAGACTCGGAGCAGAACCACTGCCCCTTCATGTTGAGAGGGGCTCTCTGCTGGAACTGCTGCCTCCCGGCCCGACTCGGATAAGCAGTAGTAGATGGATGGATGAAATGTTTGTTTGAATTAAAAAAAGAAAAAAAGAAAAAGCAGCTGACGAAGCAACTGCACGACTGGCCCGGGTAGACCACAGTTTCCTCCAAGATATGACATGAGAGCGAGTGTTAGGCACCAGGATCATTTTAGATATTCATTCATTTTGTTGAATGATATCAGCCCATTGAGCAGCAGTTATCAGTTGCTATGAGCCTTCTGATGCTTCACTCAGTGCAGGATAGGCAGACACCACCTGCATGTTGTAAAACTGTCAGAGTTCTAAACACATGGTTTGTATTAAAATAAAACTTTATAAAAATGTACTTGATACGGTTTCAGGAGAAGATCATGGTGTGGGTGGTAATAAGTATGTTTTGAAAGAAGTCCATGTGATTAGTTTCACATGAGACAAGAGCAGCAGTCTGCTGGGGGAAAGTCCTGTATTTATTCACCGTCCACCTCCTCCAATGCCAAACTAACTTCCCTCAGTTGTTACTACAGCCACTAGAGGGCGGCATTGTCTTGTTTCGCTGATCAACCAGGGTACTAGAAGGATTACTAAGTCACAATACGGTTAAATTAAGTGACATAAACATTGATATATTACAGGTAGACGTCTTGCCTGAATCTTCCTTTTGATTTTCATTTAAGCTTATTTTTTAAACAATGAATGTATCTCTTCTTTCTCCTGTATCTCTGTTTTTTATTTGCATTGCATTTGATATTGAGGTAATCCAAAAGTATTGGAAATTAATCAGGTTACATTACTTTTATTTTGTAATATTTACATTAGGTTACTGACTACATTGTTTTACATGTAACTAGTAATATTGTCAGGGAATTTAAAGTAACCCTCCCAACAGTTTTTATTTCTGAAAACTTTAACAAAATGCAGGTTTTCATGTGATTGCATTATCATTTGCCCACACAGTGTCTTTTAACAATTGCTCGTTCTTTCATAAACACCATATGGGAGCGTCACTATTTTTTCTGAATGATCACGATGGTGTTTCCTCAGTGGTGATGTCACAGCTCCTTGTTCATTACATTATTACATGACATTACATTTAGCTGACGCTTTTATCCAAAGCGACTTACAATAAGTGCATTCGACCAAGAAGATATAAACTTGAAGAAAACTGAATCATATAAGTACATCAGGTTTCATAGAGCTAAAACATTTAAAGTGCTACTCAACTGGCTTTAGATAAGCCAGTCCTTTATTAGTATATAAGTGCTTTGTTAGAAATTCTTTGTTAGTAATTATATCGCTCGAAGTGGAGTCGAAAGAGATGAGTTTTCAGTCTGCACCGGAAGATGTGTAAGCTTTCTGCTGTCCTGATGTCAATGGGGAGCTCATTCCACCATTTTGGAGCCAGGATAGCAAACCCACATGTTTTTGCTGATGGGAACTTGGGTCCCCCTCGCAGTGCGGGTGCAGCGAGCCGTTTAGCTGATGCAGAGCGGAGTGCACGTGCTGGGGTGTACAGTTTAACCATGTCCTGGATGTAGGAAGGGCCAGATCCATTCACAGCATGGTACGCAAGTACCAGTGTCTTGAAGTGGATTCTAGCAATAACTGGAAGCCAGTGAAGTGAGCGGAGGAGCGGTGTGGTGTGGGAACATTTAGGAAGGTTGAAGACCAGACGAGCCGCTGCATTCTGGATGAGCTGCAGAGGTCGGATGGCACATGCAGGTAGACCAGCCAGGAGGGAGTTGCAGTAGTCTAGGCGTGTTCAGTTGTAATGCATTGCTGTGATTCGTGCAGGAAATGAGAGTGTTCATTTATTGTGAACTCATGAATAAAGAGTGAGGGCAGATTTCATTTGACTCTGTTTAACACCAGGGGGCAGGAACACTGATAAAAAGCACTGGACTGATTTGTGCGCATAACTCAACAGCTTGAGGAATTAAAAAGATTACCATATTTAAGTGTTTGTAAGCTGTTTATATGGAGTGCCTAATAATGTGCATAAAGCTCTTTATACCTTCAGACTTATTTGCATTTTTTATGTAGTTATTATTTCAATGAAAAGTGCTTTGGTGTGATCCATTCAAGATGCTTGTACATCCAGATGCAGGCTGTAGATAAAGTGTGTTACGTTTTATTAATTACAACACTTAGCATTCTCTTATGTTGTTAATATGAAATGATGTCTGTGCTGCTGCAAGGTAATCACACTTTAATTGTTATATGTGTTATGACATAAGTGTTTTTCCAACATTTATCATTTAAAAAACCTCACACTGATGATGTGATGCTGTTTAAATTCTACAATGCAACTCTTGGCTGTTGGTCCAGTCCAGTCCAAGACCATGTCAGAAAAGTAATTGTGACCAAGTCAGGATTTAGTCCGATCAAGTCCTGTTTAAGAACAAGAGGCAACACTCTTTCCCATGCTAATCATTGGACTCATGGAGTCGATTAACACAAAAATATTTGCCAAATATTTTGAAAATGTAAACCTTAAGTATCTTTTTGCAAATAAACTGCAGTAAAACAACATTTCTTTCAGCTAAGATTTTTTGGTAAATTATTGCTTTGCTTTCCCCTGAATATCTTTAGGTTTTGGACCGACATAACATTTTAAGACCACCTTTCGGACTTTAAGGAACCGGGCAATTACATTTTGAGACCAAACTATTCATGTATTAATTTGGAAAAATCCTCAAAATTCAGATATAAATATAATTGTTAGTTGTAGCCTTTAGAGCAGGGGTGTCCAAACGTTTTCACTGAGGGCCACATACACAAAAACATACGGTTAGCTGGGCCCCTCACTAGAGATGAGGTGTACTGCCTCATAAGTTAAGTTATAAGTTAGCAAAGTCAATCAAATGTAAATTATGCTTGATACTTGAATATGCTTTAAGAAAATCACTGCTCTCCATTTGTTTCATTAATTTTGTAACAAAAAGGGTTGGCAGCTCATCCCTTACAACAGAAGGCTCGGATGGCTTATAATAGGGAAAATATGAAGGGTTTATTTCAAGCTGGTTATGGAAATAAGTTGTTGGGATTGTTAGACTTTTAGAATTTGCTGAGGGCCGATTCAAAATGGGCCGCAGTTGGCCCCCGGGCCATAGTTTGGACACCCCTGCTTTAGAGTAAAGGAAATATTATTACACCACTTCCCTTTATCAAACAGATAAACACAACTGTGCACCTTTCCAAAACAAGTTTATCTTTCACCAAAGTAAGACTAGCTTTATTTGCGTTTATTCATATAATACATGCTTTAATCCACAGTTCAACTATCACTAACTCTGATTGGTAAAAATAAACCATCTTATCGACTTCACAAAATGTAATGTGAAAATATGCCTGCTACTCACGCTCTGCCCAACTTACAGCCAGGAACAAGTTTTCCTGTTCTTTATAGCTAGGTCCGAGACCAAGAGAACTCAAAATCCCACAATGCACCAGACCAAGACAAGTGCAAGATTCTAGCAGAGAACTTCCAACTCCATAGTTCCTGTAGTTTGTCCCTTTCTATAACTCTGGACATTTTGCACACATTGTACTCATGCTACCTCATTGCATTTATATTTCAATTTGATTTTAATACTGAACACAACTTTGCAAACTATATTTTTTTATTTTGTAGAAGTATTCTAATGTATTTTTGATTTGTTAATTGTGTGTTCTTTAGATACTCTATTAATATATATGTTTTCTACTGTTGATATATATATATATATATATATATATATATTTACTGTTTATGTTTATTTTTCATTTCATTTTATTTGTATTTTATTATTGTATTTCAAACTCATGAGTTATACCTGTTAACTTTCTGCTGATGTGACAAAATAATTGACTGAATAAAGTATCT